GTTTAAAGCTAAAATTTTCAATCAGCAAGTTACTGTCTGGTTGGAAAGCAGCAGTGTCCCGATTTTTTACTGACTTTCCGTCCAGTAGACAGTCAGCAACGGCAGCTGTGCATTGCTTTATTAGTTTCTCTGCTCTGTGTGTGCTTCTCCAGCCAATGCAGTACAATAACTTACTTTGTAAGATGTTTGTGACTTCATTTTTAGTTTGAAAAGTGTAACAAACAATTTTCAGTTTTTAAAGAGCTAATTATATCTACATTTAAAATATTCAATGCTTTTTAAACAATTATTTGTTTCAAAATAATGTAGCAATCAAACTGTCACAATAAAATTACTAGAACATATTGTTCTGCCTAAATCACTATAAGGCAAATTATTAACGTCTATAAAGCTGAAGGAAAGATAGCTTTTGTCATATTTTAATTTCTTATGCACAGCTTTCCCATTTTATTGGGAGTGGATTTATCCTTTTTGTAAGTAAGATGCCCCTTTGAAATATCAGTTTTATCCTTTTCTCCAACTTCGGACATATACAGTGTAATTGTGGTGGAGAAAGTGTGTCTTTTAGTCTCCTTCGTCTCTGACAAATGTCCTCCTTCACAGTAAGAAAAATATATTATAAATATATATTTTTTTATTTCAGGAGAAATATTAAATTTCATAATACTTATACTTTTAGATAAAACTAAAAATTAGTAAGGTTTTAAAATTTAAAAAAAAATACAGAAAATGTACTTAATTCTAGTTGTGCTTCCATGGAAGCTCAAGACAAAATTCAAGATTTCAAAATAAGAATGTATTAGACAAAAATGTGGTTGCAAGGATTATAGCAGGGAAAATTGAAGATATCCAGGAGGTAACCAGTAAAATCATTGAGAATAAACTAGGTTAATCCCGAACATGGAGATCATTTATACCCTAAGACTACTACCTTAGAATATTCTTGAAAACACAAGCAAACCCTGTGTTTACCATAATAGTGATGATGTTATCAAATGCCAAGTAGGATCTGGGAAACTCTGCCGTACATTCTTGAGAAAATGAGGAAACAAAAAGACAACATTTTCGTGGTATTATGAAAGCCGTTAGAGCTTTGGATCTCATGAAAGGATCTCGTGGACCTGAGGGGCCCCTGACCACACCTTGAACCTTGAACATCTCTGGGTGAGGGGAATAATAGTCGTAATAACATAAAAAACCTAGAACCTCAGTAGTTTCACATAATTGAAGTTTATTTCTTGCTCCTGGAGTCTACTCGGAATCAAGGCAGAGGCTGTGCCACACGTGCTCATTTAGGAATTGAAGCTAATAGAGTTCTGTGTCTTCAGTGTATGGCTTCTGAGGTTGAACACAGAAGAGAGAAGATGGAGTGGAGAATTTTTTCAAGAAGTTTTTATTAGCCCAGCCCTCAAGTAAAGTTCAACCATTTTGTCCACATTTCATTGGGTAGAACTCAGTTCCGCTGCTACTCACAATTGCAGGGGTAACTGGGAAACACAGTCAGCTGTCTGCCCAGCAGGAAAAATATCTGGGTTTGACAAACAGGAGGCAACCCTAATATGGCAGCCAGTTTGATATATTTACTGTGAAAGCCTCTGGTTTGGAAAGGCGTAGGTATAATCAACACATCAACAACGTAAGAAAATCGGCTTGGTGTAAAGTAAGCACATTTTTTTATATACAGAGAAATATGTTAAATTCAGTAACGTTTATTGTGCACCTACTATGTCCAAGCAATGTTCTAGCTCCCGGATAGAGAGAGGAGCAATAGACATGAAGTCTCTTAGAGATTGTGCTGCATTATAGTCTAGGGGGAGTATGGGCAATAAAAGAATAAACAAATAGCAAAATAATGGTGAATTGTGATTAAAAAAACCATGAAAGAAGAAAAGAAAGTGGGAGACGATGTTATGATGGAAAGGGTCATCCAGGAAGGCCTTTCTGAGAAGACAATATTTGTGCCAAGAACTGAAGAATGAGAAAGATCCAGCTATGCAAAGACCTAGGAGGCAGACATGTCAGACAGAGAAAAGAGTAAGTTCAAAGTGCAGAGGATGGGAACAGCCTCGAGCATTGGAGAAACAGAAACGGTCAGTGTGTTCTGAGAGGAGAGGTGGTCAGGGCTGAAAACACGCAGGGCATTATAGCGCATTAAAAGTCATAGTTTTTTGTTTGTTTTGTTTTGTTTTTTTAATTTTTTGTTTATTGCAGTAACATTGGTTTATAACACTGTAAAAATTTCAGGTGTACACCATTGTACTTCTATTTCTGCATAGATTACATCATGTTCACCACCAAAATACTAATTACAACCCATCACCATACACATGTACCGGAAAAAAAAAAAAAGTCATAGTTTTATTCTAAGGGCAGTGGAAAGCCAGGTGAGTGTCATGGTTTGATTTATATTTTTAAAAGTTTCTTCAGGTTGCTTAGTGGAGAATAGATTTGGGGAGATCTAGAGTAGAAGACAATTTGCTAAGTCCAAGTTCATTGTGCTTCTGCTAATAATTTATGTTTATTTATGTATATGTACTATGTATGTATTTATGTATAATTTATGTATCATGCCCCGAACAACCTGGGGCAATAAATCCATCTTAATATTCTTAAATTCAATGAAGGCTGTTTTTAAAAATTATTGTGTTGTGTCGTTTATTTTTTGTTTGTTTCTTCAGGTCATATGGGCCATCCATAATTGTGATTGTGATATTACTGGTGGCTAATTCAAATGGAATTGCAAAAACGATTTTTCCTAGTTTTTTTTTTTTTTTTAAACCATCAGTGCTCTCACCATTAATACAAAGACAAAAATAAATTTTCAATTCCCAGAACTGGCGTTTCTCTCAACTTTGTCTGGCATGAGTTATAAAAATGACAAATGTTGGCCTTCAAACTAGAAAATAGAATACCAACTACATTTCCACAAGAGTCACAGGAACAGTCATGCGAGGCTGAAACATTCTAATCAAAAGAGGAGATAGTGAGTAGTAATAATGACTATTATTAAGCATTATGCAAAGTAGTAAAAATGATATAATGAATAATAAGGAATCCTGATAACTGAGGTGGGCAAGCTTGATGTAAAAATAAGGAAAAATATGGATGGGTCTCTTCAATATCAATAAAACTGCTTAATGATGGCAACAAATCTGAGTAATTCTATACGAAACGTAGTTCTTTTCTTGTACACAGTAGGTATTAAATATACATTTCTTGAAAGAATAACCAAATATCTATTGATTTAGAGGAAGGGAAAAAAACCCTACTCGGGGGTATCCTGATCCAAATTGGCTATGTTGTCCTTGTTTGTGCCTCTTTCCTAGAAAGTGCCTACAGGTACTTGGTCCTTGCTTTTTTCCCAAAAAGGTAAAATAATTGTTTTCAAAACAATTATGCAAAGGAATGTATATCTTGATTCAAAATGCGTCACCACATTCTAGTCGTGCCCTATAACAAAGTGACTCTACACAGCTGATGGAACTGAACGGTGGCATGGCTCATCCAGACCTTTCGGTTTCAACAGATCAGTGAGCACTACTGTTTAACAAAATTTAAAAATAAAAAAAAGCTGCAATGAAGATAAGTGCACTAGTCTAGTCAGCCTGTAGTTGTGGGCTTGGTGCATCCGAGCACACAGACACACGAAGCAGCACGCTTGGATACACACGGACATAGATGCATACACGGTCTTAACGTCCAGAACTAATTCCCTCCAGAAAAAGCGCTACCCTTCCCATTGTTGAGCAGTGTCTCACAAAATATTTCTAACTTTATAAGATTGTTAATTTATAGCTAATACCATAGTAGTAGAAAGAAATTAAATTTCACAATCATCTTTTAAATCTGATACCATGCCTCTCCAAGATGAATGATGGCCTTTGATGCCTTCACCCATAAATAAAAGAAAATCCAATTCATGTAACTGACTATGAAGACGTGTATTATTTCTAAAAGCAAAAAGCCAAGAGAAGTGCAACTCCGACTAGGTTAATACACTGCCCCAGTGATACACGCAAGGACTTCTCAGTTCATGTTTGTATCCTGCTCATCTTAAAAGTTCCATTTTCTCACATTAGCACCTGTCCACATCATGAGCTGGCCCCTACACACGACCCTGTGGGGTCCAGTATAAACATGACCACAACAGGAGCCAAGAAAACTGTATAAGCCTTGTCTTTATTGATTATCAGGAAAAACTTTGTCAGCAGCCCTCCAACAGACTCCCCTTTATACGTCATTGGCTGCATACCTCCCTCAAGTCAATTCCAGGAAACGGAAATAAGTTCACCGTTTTTAGTTTATAACAGTTAGGAAACATTTGAAGCTCACTATAAATTGAGTTTCCCCCAAAGTACATACGTGAACGGAGAAGGACAGATACCTGGACCTGGGGTAGACTGAGAGGGAGAGAGTGGGCGTTGAGTGGACACAGTAGAAAACTGAAGAATACTTTGAAAGCTAGCATGGCATGAAAAGTTAGGAAAGAAGATTTGATGAAAACAGGATAGTGCTGTCTGCCAGGGGAGAGGAGCCCTAGATTTTAGGTGTTAACCTAATGCTTCCAATATTTCCATAGAAAACTGCATTTTGACAATTTAAAGAATCTTTGAAATAAGACAATAATTGTATCTAGAATAGATAGAAGTTTACCCAAACCTTGAATTACCTATGGATACATTTTACAAAAACATCTATTTTCTGATTATAGATTTAGAGATAATGAGTAAGATTTTTATTTGATGATTAGATGAAGGAACGCATTCGAAGGTTTTTAAAAATGGCTTCTTTTGTATTGATAAGAACCTTGTAGTAATAATAATATGTTTTGTAAATTAACATTTCATTATTAACATTATCACAGTTTTTATTTAACCACTTATTTTCCCCTAATGTGTTTTTTTTAGGCAGATTCCTGAATAATTTAATGGTATATTACTCAATATCATTTTAAGTAATAAATGCAGAATAAACTAATTGTCTTTTTCTCAATTTTTAAGATCCTGACTTTAAGGACCTTGGAGTTTTGAAACCATTACCAGGTTGGTAAAATAGATATTTAATAATTTTCAGAGGCCTCTGTTTTCTGCTATGAAATATACTTTTGGTTTATTATTCAAGCTCCATTTTTGTATGTTTGTTGGCATTTTGTTATCTAGCCTGTGAGTTTGAGATGGGCGGTCCTGAAGGAATTGTGGAGTCTATACAAATCATGAAGGAAGGCAAAGCTTCTGCTAGCGAGGCCGTTGATTGCAAGTGGTACATCCGGGCACCTCCACGATCCAAGGTCAGTCTTAGGGTGAAACAGATTTGACGATCGACTTGGGAAGTGTCTAAAGCATGCATTGGTTTGAACATAGTGGACATGCTTCGTACATTTCAGAGTGCAATCATAAGCTATCATTTTATTTTGGTTTTGAAATGCAACTTGTTTTCCCCTGTGAGAGGGTGCTGAAGAGATCATTCGATGGCTAACCTGGACAAGAGACTCTAAGGTAACTACTCCTCTGAAAAACAGATTGAAATGTTATATGTAAGCTATGGTTCTAAGTATAGTTACACTTATGCCCTGTTGTCAGTATCTGCAGTATGTTTGCTTTTTAACCTAAAATCATATCTATAGATGAAATTGTCCAGGGCTTACAAAATCATGTATCTCTGGAATATAAAGTGTGACAAGGCTGGGAGACACCGGTGAACAGGACTTAGGAGAGCCAGTGCCCATGCAAAGGGGCCAGCCAGTACTTGACTGCCTATCAAGCTCCTTTAGGTTGATGATGTGAGAAAATGTGGGTTCAGCTTTACCAGTTCCTCCATTTTTTTTATAACGTTCCAAAAATCTAGATTTTATGTTAATCCCTTGGTTTTTACATGCTGGCAATAAATTTTAAAAATTGAAAATATTGTATATATTAAACTAAATACATTATGAGCCAGATTCGGACTCAGGCCAGTATTTTAGAAACACTTCTTTAGAACAACCGTATTCATCCTTTTATGCATATGTCTCAAGAAATACTGGGGATGAGTAATTTTGTGCCAGTAGCTGTCATAGGTGTAGCTTATCCCTCTCCCTTTATGGTCACCCCTCAGTTATAGAGTATAGTTACAACCAAGCATTACTGGTTTATTAGATTTGTAGTTGACTATTGAGGTTGAAACAGTTTGTCATTTAATTAATTGATTTAGTGACTCTATAAAGTCTCAAGCATCCTGTCAGAGAAATGAAAAAGCATGCCAGCCCCCGTCCTCACATTTCCAGTTTAATTCTTTTTCTTTTTGTGAGGAAGATCAGCCCTGAGCTAACATCCATGCCAAGCCTCCTTTTTTTGCTGAGGAAGACCGGCCCTGAGCTAACATCTATTGCCAAACCTCCTCCTTTTTTTAAAATTTTTTCTTCCCCTTTTTCTCCCCAAAGCCCCAGTAGATAGTTGTATGTCATAGTTGCACATCCTCCTAGTTGCTGTATGTGGGACGCGGCCTCAGCATGGCCTGACAAGCGGTGAGCTGGTGCACGCCCGGGATCCGAACCCGGGCCGTCAGTAGCGGAGCGCACACACTTAACCGCTAAGCTATGGGGCCGGCCCCTCCAGTTTAATTCTTAGACAAATGTGTAACAAAATAATCCAAGGAATAAGACAAGATCATTGAGGTGTTTATAAGGTGTAGCAGAGTGAGGGAGAACACATAGACACAAGGTAAGCCAGAAGGAGAATCAAATAGCATCCAGGGTGTCGACTGCATCTTAATGAGAAATAGTCTTGTGTCAGGTAGTCAAGGTGGACAGGGCTCTTCAGGGAGAACCAGTAGCATCTACAAGGTCACGGAATCATAAGAGACCATGCCTTTTCAGGAATTAAAGTAATGGCATGTGACCAAATAAGATCATGAGTATGGAAGTTGATGGTGAGTCATTAATCCAAAGGCCTCTGTAGGTCCCCGCTTAAGAGCCTGGATTCATCCACAAAGCATTAGTGATACATGTGTCCATGCAAATGATCAATAACCAATCTGTAGATTAGAAAGGTAAGGTGACTTTTATCTGAGCCAAGCTGAGGACTAGCCTGTAAGTACGATCTCCACCAGGGAAGAAAGCACTCTGGAGAAGCATGGTTTACAGCATGGTTATATACCATTTCAGAACAAATAACACACGTGACAGGGATATAACTTTTTTTTCTCAAAGTCATAAGGAGATGTTTTGCTGCAGGTTAGCACATACACAGCAGGTCAGCTTGACTTTGGTTTTCTGGGAAGAAAAGCTTATCTTCAAAGGAGTACTGGTATTGGCGTCAGAGGAAGGGAGACATTCATCCTTATCTTTAAGGGGTGCATTCTTTGCTTTGGGAAAACATTTGAAGCAGAGTTATAATGCATGTTTGGTGGGCCATAAGTCAGGCTGTTCTGGGAAACAACAAGTTTTAGGCCGAATCAGGTTTAAACCAGAGTGGTTTCCCCCTATACCTCAAAATGTGAAAACTTATTATTATTATTTTCATCACATGGAAGAGTGTGAGGCAGGAATGTGACATGATCAGATCTGCATTCTGGAAAAATAGTTTTTCCCTGTTATATAGGGACAGAAGTGTTAACACTGCAAGCAGAAGACTCATAGGAAGCTAATCCCAGTGATTGAGGCCAGGCCATGATGGTAGACAGATGAAGGAATTATTCAAGATAGATACAGTAGAATTTGGCGGCTGAATATTCAGGATGAGGGAAAAATCAGAGTCATGAGGAAGTTGGTATTTCAAGAAACATTTTTGTCTTTCTTCACTCGATTTTCCCGTGAATATGTCTCTGGGGTTTGCATATAATTTGGAAGTGTGGCACACTTTCCCCAAACCTCCTTACTGAGATGCAGAGACCGTGGTCCAGGTTGCAGCTTTGCCACTTGCAAATCTCTTTACATCTGAACAAATCTTTGAAAAAATCAATTGCATTATGAAGAAAGATACAGTGATTCCTCCTTCAAAAAAAAAAAAAAATCAAAGGCATAAAACCCAGCCCACTACATAGATTACAAGGGAGCTAGATTACAGCTTATTACGCCCTCTTACATAACCTGTGGGTTCACAGGCAAGTGCTATTCATTTTCCTTAAACTCTATGAATGAAAGATTTTTCTGGATGTTTTTTTCAACGGGAAGCATTTGAGCGCCACCTCACTGTCATAACCAGCATCTTTCTCCCTGAGGTCTTAAAGACAGAGCTTTTATGGGAGTATAAACACACACCATTTTTTTCCAGCTCGTAAATAGGCTGTCTTTTGTACAATGCCAGACCAACAACACCGAGTGTACCTGTCTGTTACAGAATTTGGCATTCTGTGACCCAAAGGGGAAGTCGCCCGCAGAGCTGGACAAAGATGGCTCTATTGTGACAGGCTTTCTCTGTTAAATTAAAGGTTAGAGGATAGGAAGTGGCTTTGAATGACTGTGAAGAATAGCAAGAACTGGCGATGCTGCCTATGTGGGCTTTCTATTTTTATGGAGTTCCTAGAAGCTTATGAGAATAGACTATCAAAGCACAGGTTAAACTTGAAATGGCTCATGGTGAATATTTGAATGATAACTAGTAATTGAAACATATTGCACAATGAAATTGCTAAATAGCTTACTTGGGTTCTATTAAAATTTATATCAAGTATATATGTCTTCTTAGCCTTTTGGGAAATATAAAACATAATATTTGATCTCTCCTTTGTTTGAGAATAGTAATACAGATAATCACCTTTAATTAGAAAGTGATTAATCCAGATTCCTTAGAATTTGGAACACCAAAGCCAGAAAGAATATTAAAAGTTTGTTACTGATTAGTTCATTTAACAGGTGGATAAGCAGAGTCAGATAATGAATTTCTATATGGATTGACAATGGGATGTAGAAATATGCCTCTGTAAGCAACTATTTGGTATTTATACAGATCCTAGAGCAAGGATGGTAGAAGAGTATTATGGTGTTCAGTTCTGGATCTGGTCCAGAAAAGAATGTTGGGTGATCAAATCATGGTACCTATTTGAATGTTAATTCCATGCAGGCTGGGGCTTATTTATCTCTAGATACCCAGTGCCAAGCAAAATGTCTGTCATTCACTTAAAACTCATGGAAAAAATAAACTGATATGTACCTAGAAAAATGGACCTGGTAGCAATCTTCAAACATTTGAAGGACTGTCATATGACAGAGGAATAAGAGGATAAGGCTTAATCTGCGTGGTTTTAAGTCCTGCGATTTATTTGAATCCTGGAAACTAGAGAAATACAGTTTTGGGTCAATATAGAGAAGGTTTTTGTTTTTGTTTTAAAAATGGAGCTGCCCAAAGATCAAATGAGATTCCACAGGAGGAATCCAACTAAAGTTTGGCAGGGATTTTGTATAATAATTAAAAAATCAAGTCATTTTTGGCATATATAATATTAAATTCCCTTTAAGACAAAAACTCGATAACTCTATGATAAATGACTTGCCCAGATATTTGGCCAGTTAGTAACAGAGCTGAGAGGCAAGATCATCTCCTGAGTCCCAGTCCAGTGTAATGTTATAGAACCACACTATTTGGGGATATTGTCAAATTTGTTAAGACAGGAAAAGAGATACTTACAAAAGTACAAATGAAGATAATTAATTTAATGATTAAGGTCTTGGGAGAATAAAACTCTAGCTTTTAGTAATTACCCATCATTTAAAACTTCAAATTAATTTTTAATATTTCGTCAATTCAAAAATGTTTTGAATAAAATTAAGGTAAAATAAACATAAAAACTTGACAAATATAATGTCAATATTTTGTAGTGAAGTTGTGTTAAAGTTATATGATGAAGTTAATTGTTGTAGGCAGAATCTCCAGACGACACCAAGATTTCCAGCCCAATGGGCCTGTGACTATGAAAAAAATATCACGCACCCAATTATGCTAAATTGCCTGGCAAAAGGGGTTTTGCTGATGCAGTTAAGGTTACCAATCAGTCGACTTTTAGTTAATTAAAAGGGAGTTTATCCAGATAAGCCTAATCTAATCACACGAGCTCTTTAAAAAGCAGAGTTTTCTCTGGCTGTGTGCAAAAGTGGAAGTCAGAGAGTCAGAGGAACTAAGAACGTTTTCCAGGAGATAAAAGTGATCCCTGGTGAATGGTCATCAAGAAGACAGGGACCTCGGTCCTAGAACTGCAAGGAACTGGGTTTTCAGCCTCATTCGACCTTAGCAGAGAACATGGCCAGTCCACAACTGCTTCTAACCTACAGAACTCAGAGATAATAAATGGGTGCTGGTTAAAGCTGCTCAATGT